CTGCTGTCCCTTGTGTCTTTTCTCATTCTTTCCACTTACTGTTCATTTATTCAGCCACCAAGGGGGCATCTTTTGTGTTTCAGGGACTGTCTGTGCCTTCATGGGGCTCACTGTGGAGGTAGGAGACAAACATGAAGAGATAAGCTCACTTTAAATACAAACTTCAAACAGGGGGCCACAAAGCCTGTTTCCAGAGGTCTCCCTTGTTGGCTCCAGTCCATGGTAATTGCTAATTCCCTCCTGGGGGAGCCACTCAGAATCTGGAATTGCAGAAGGAAGAACAGCCAGGTCAAACAGTCTCCTGGTCCTCTGGCCCTTTGTCTGCTCCGGGAAACTCCTAGTGACATTTGTTACTTTTTAGCTTGTGCCCCAGCAGACTGTAGCTTTTGAGGATAGGGTCTTTCCTAATGAAAGGCTGCTCCATTGAAGGTCAGGCCTGGTGTACAGAGAGTTCTATTCAGAACTAATCTTCCTGGGAAAGTTTTCATTTATTTTGCTACTAGTGAGTTTTGTTCCTTATCTTTTAAATTTAGTTTGCTGCAGTGTATGCTAAAGTTTGTTTTTAAAAATACAGATGGGGCGGGGGGGTGGGGGGGTGTGTAGCCCAGTGGCAGAGAGAGCACTTAAGCGTAGCATGTGCGAGGTCCAGGGTTCCTTTCCCAGCACCACAAAAAATCTGTAAAAATACAGAAAAGTTAAGAATTTGTTTCTAACAAGTTCACTGGGGAGGGAGGGTGTTCCATCTCCAACCTTGTAGTAAGAGTCAGTGAAAATTCAATAGAAAAGTGGCTGGGCTTAGTTTTGAGTCCCCTTTGGGTAGCAGAAGAGGGAGGGAGCACTTGCCTGATTTCTTCATATGGTGGGATCTCTGACCCACCCCAAAGCTCTAGGTCTTTGGGGGCTTTGTCTGAAAAACTGGGTAGAAGACGAGGGGTTTGGACTTTGGTCTTCACAAGCAGAAGGAGAGGAGATAGAGTGGGCGACAGATCCCTGGGGTGGCCCGGAAGCAAGCAAGTCACCAGCCCGTCCTCCGGGTGAACTCCAGGCCCATGAACTGCACAGCCAGCCGAGGGGGGGAGCCCCCTTCCGCAGCGCAGCGTTCCCTGGAAGCCCTTAATGAGCTCCTGCTACTGCTGCATCTGCAAGCTGCTGCCTAGTGAGGCCTTTTGAAAGGTCACGTGCCTCTCCAACTGCGCTTAAAGAACTATTGCTATTTTCTCAGAAAGCCTGAAGAGAAAGAGGCTTCTGAGGAGCTGGCGACCCTGGCCATGGCCAGCCCGAGCCAGGCCCAGAGAGGCCAGGAGGGGCCCACGCGTCTGGCTTCCTGCCCTCTGGTTCTTGAGGGCATGTCTTGTCTTTTCTTCTTTAAATTGTGCCCTGCTTAAGGAGGTGGTGGTTAACACAGAGTCCTGAGAAGGGGAGTTCTCGCCGCCCTTCCCCTTCAGGAGTTGGAGGCCTCTCCTGACCAGGCTAATTGGAATGTTGCTGTGGCGTCTGAAGCAAACTTAGGGACAGCTTTCTTTTTAAATAAAAATGTGGAATAGATTTTGATCATGTTGCACTTTTATTCCTTTCTTAAGGATTTAGAATTAGGATTAAAAATCAGGATGGTGTGCATTTTGCAATTTTAGTGGGTGTGTGAAGCCAGCCCTGCCTCTCCACACAGCAGAGAAATGAAGACAGACCTGCTCAGAGACACACTCTTATCAGGGGTCCTCATTTACACATTCCAAGAGCACCCGGGCTTCAATTTGTGTATCTGTTCCTGCTCACCAAGTGTTGCTCACCAGGGCCCTCCACCCTCCTGGTTCAGGCAGTATCACAGATGGCTTCTCAGGCTTTTCCTAAATCATGAGGATCCTCACAGGGCTCTGATCAGCTGGATCTTCCCTACTGGAAACCAACGGGAATCTCTCTGAGAGTGCCACCTCAGATCTTTAAGGATCAAGTGGCCTGTTTGTTTCTTAAATATTCGAGTGCAGTAGGTTCAGTAATTATTTCTAGGAAAATGTATTATTGAAAAAGTACTGTTGCTTATTATGGTAAAAAGTCTTTAAATAGTTCTACATTGATGGGTAAAGAAAAGTTTATACCCGCCTTTCCTCCAAAACTGATAGAAATTCAAAGTGGCATTCTGTTTACTAATTTGTTTTTAGTTTTATTTTGGTTTACATTTGAGGACAGTGCTTCTCCAGACTTTTCTGTAGTGATGGACCATCTTGCTTTTTCCTCTCAATCCTTCATGGACTTTAGTAAAACAAAATAAAAATAACTACTTGAAAAGTGAAGTAAAAACAGAAAGATGTAAAAGGTAAAAGCTCCTGTTTTAAAATTAGATGTGCAAACATACAATTACTTTGTTAAGTTTACTGTAAAAGTTTATAAATAAAACTATATCTCTACTTACCTCATTGCAAACTGATGACAGTGCGTATGGGTCCCCTCTGTGGGCCACACTTTGACAAACACTGTTTTATTTACTTTTTTTTTTTTATTTTTAATATTTTTATTTTTTAGTTATCGGCGGACACAACATCTTTGTTTGTATGTGGTGCTGAGGATCGAACCCGGGCAGCACGCATGCCAGGCGAGCGCACTACTGCTTGAGCCACATCCCCAGCCCCATGACAAACACTGTTTTAGATGGTGCATGTGTGTATTTGTGTACTTACATATATATTTAAGTGTACTGGCCTGATAACATTATAATGTAACATGGATCCGATAGTAACTTTATGTGTGAATTAAATGCACCCAGAAGCTCTTTGGCAAAAGTGAGGTGTTGTTGTTGTTGTTTTTAAACAAGTGTTTAAATGTTCAAATTGTAAGGGTATACAAATACACAAATAGTATAATTGTGAATACAACTATGTGTTTCAAAACTCAGATGTCTGGTAACACTTTTTTTTTTTTTTTTAATTTTTGCATCCTGGGGATCGAATCCAGGGCCCCATATATGCTAGGCAAGCACTCTACCACTAAGCTATATCCCCAACCTGGTAACAGTTCTGATATATAAAGTAGAAACTGTTGTGCAAAGTGAGATGAAACCACCTCCACTCTGATTCACCCTCAAAATTTAAATGAGCACAGATACTTTAGATAGGAAATGGCTTATGCAAAGCAGATACACAAATGAGACTTTTAGCACTGAATGATAGGAACTCTGTCATATGAAGTGTTAGATAAGCCAGTTCTTACTATTGTACCTTCCTTGTCTCAGAGAACAGTTAATTACAGGATGGATCTTTGGTCTTTTTGGTCCTAGTGATTGACAGCCATTTTGTTAATGCTTACAGAATGAGGGGAAATCTTTTGTACAAGTATCTTCACATTCTTTGTAAGCATTAACAGATCTCAAGCTGATACTGATGTTGATAGGTTGCAGTTGTCATTATCTCCTGGTGACTGGGGCATTGGAAGTCAGTCGCCACACTTGGGATTGTGTGCCAGGCATTGTCTTCTGTATGTGTGCCTCAGGGGACAGCATGGCCATCTTTTAAGCAAGTATTGGAAAGAAGTTTTGTGAAGTGTCAGTATCCCATTAGCCTTATTCCTTTAGGATGAGACTTGGAATTCAAGACGCTGATGAGTTGTAGGAGGAGAAGGCCTCTTGGAGACCAGCCTTTGCTCTCATGGGGCTCCACGCAGGGCCTGGCAGAGTGCCTGAGACAGCGTAGAGGTGGAGTGAGCTAGAACTAGGCAACTTCAGCCAGTTGTGAAGCAGTTCAGTAAAAGGTAAGTAACGAATAGAAGAAAAACTAGGTACCTACAAAATAGTTGCCTGGATATGACGCTCACAGATGTCATGTTCAGAAAGGATTCACAGGGTCCAGGTGTGAGTGCCATGCACCAAGAGAAGGAACACGCCAGGGTCTGGCTTAGTTAGACCAGGCATCCAGGTCCAGACAACAGAGGGATGACTTCCTTGATTGAATGGTTGGAAGTGAGATCTGAGGCACAGGCTGCTGGATTTGAGATGGTTCTCTGATGGTGGAGGCTGTGAAAAGAGGTAATGACAGCGTGACCACAGAGTTGGAAGGGTCACTGTGTAGAAGGCAACAACCAACTGAAGACCAGGACTCAGAAAGGAGTTTTAAAATTCAACCCATTATCAAATTGCAAGGCCTAACACGGGGACCTTGTTCATTTGAAGTACATATGTATCTGTAGAATCACAGTAGGTATTTCCTTATGAAATGTCTCAAGTATCCAAACAACAGTACCTATAATCAGAGCAGATTATTTTAAAATTAATGCAGTTGCATTCAGACATGACCTTGTGCAGTGAAACTGAGCCAAGGAGAAACTTGGATTCTCCACTTGATTCTAGAGTGAAAAGCAGCGGCCACTCCATCTCTGTGGTCATTTAACACAGGCCAAGTGTTTCACCACATGTCACCCAACAGGCAGGAAGGCTCTGATGCATAATGAGGAAGGAAAAGGCATTTTGAAAGCACACACAGTTCTACCAAAATTGTACACCTTCCTCCTTGTCTAACTTTTTTTTTTTTTTTTAATCATTCAAGATGCATTGAAGCTGTAATTTATGACACCTATATCTGTTTAGGTCATAGCGTTGTAAGTGTTTTCTTGAGCTTTAAAAATAAATCCATTTGGGGAAGGGAAATTGAACCTGCATGATAATGTTAGGCATGCGAACGCAAGCACATGAGCTGAGAAAGTCAAAATCACAGTTTCCATGGTAACTTTTAACTTGTCTGTGTCGTACACATTTCTCAAGAAATACATTCGCCAGACTACCTAGTGATAAAAACCGCTCTGCAGGCATATGAGGGTAGATTTCCCAGTTTTCTCTCTTTCTGAAAGGTCTTCCCCCAATTAATCCATCTGCTCTTCTAAATCACCCAGGCAAGAAACTAAAGTCCAAGTTCTGACGTCTAAGTCAGCACCTTTTTTTTTTTTTTTTAATTTTTTTTTTTATGGTGGAGATCAGCCTTTGTGTGATTCATGCCATTTCCTGCCTTTCTCCTTTGCAGATATATGTTGGGTAAAGGAGGAAAACGGAAGTTTGATGAGCATGAAGATGGGCTGGAAGGCAAAATCGTGTCTCCCTCCGACGGTCCATCCAAGGTGTCTTACACCTTACAGCGCCAGACTATCTTCAACATTTCCCTTATGAAACTCTATAACCACAGGCCCCTGACAGAGCCCAGCTTGCAAAAGACCGTTTTAATTAACAACATGTTGAGGCGGATCCAGGAGGAACTCAAGCAGGAAGGCAGCCTGAGGCCCGGCTTCACCCCCTCCTCCCAGCCCAGCGACTCCCTGAGCGACAGCTACCGAGAGGCCCCGCCCGCCTTCAGCCACCTCGCACCCCCTCCCACCCTTCCCTGCGACCTCGGAAGCACTACACCCCTGGAGGCCTGCCTCACCCCGGCCTCCCTGCTGGAGGACGACGATGACACTTTTTGCACTTCGCAGGCTGTGCAGCCCACAGCTCCTACCAGACTCTCCCCTCCAGCCCTCCCGCAGGAGAAGGACAGCTTCTCCTCTGCCTTGGACGAGATCGAGGAGCTCTGTCCCACATCTACCTCCACAGAGGCCACCGTGGCAGCGACTGACAGCTTGAAAGGGACCTCCAGTGAGTCCAGCATCCAGAAATCCGAGGGGCCCCAAGAGGGCCGCACGGATGACTCAAAACTGATGGACTCTCTGCCTGGGAATTTTGAAATAACAACTTCCACGGGTTTCCTGACAGACTTGACCCTGGACGACATCCTGTTTGCTGACATTGACACGTCCATGTATGATTTTGACCCCTGCACATCTGCGTCGGGGGCAGCCTCAAAAATGGCCCCTGTGTCGGCCGATGACCTCCTCAAGACTCTGGCTCCTTATAGCAGTCAGCCCGTCACCCCGAGTCAGCCTTTCAAAATGGACCTCACAGAACTGGACCACATCATGGAGGTGCTCGTTGGGTCCTAAGACCCGGGGACTCCGCCACCTGACCCCACTGCCACGCCCGCCCAGACACTGCGAGCGTCTCCCCACAACCCTGACAATTCTCCGCACTGTGCATGCACCCTTGCCTGCCTTTTTCAGAGAAAAAAAGAAAATTTTACAAAAGGATCACACTAGTTTTTGCTTTGAGCAGAGTTGGAGTGCCTTCATCCAAGTATGACCACTTTTAATATGCTTTTTTTGAGTGGTTCCTCAGAGACCTACTACCCTGGTATAGGAAAGAGTCCATTTGAAGACAATGTTGCTAATGTTGAATGGCAAACAAACAGTTCGAGTGAAGCACAAGGATTAAGTTGGAAAAGCTGTAAATTGCATGTGCATATTTGTCTATTTTTTCTATAAGTTTTAATGCAAGAGGTAAAAAAGAAAAAATATATATATATATATTATTTAGATAATCTCAGTACCTTTCCTGGCATTTTCGCCCTGTATAGGTTGACCCGGCAAATCAGCCTTTTTAGAGGCATTAAGTACTCCTCGTAAGTGTTGCATTTACATGGCTGTTTAGAAAACTGCTGCCCAAATTTATTTTATATTTTTGTACAGATTCTGCAGTTTATGATATTGTTTTTCTAAAAACAAATGCTGTTTATACATATGAGATAGCTATTTTGATAGGATTTGCTCACATAGTTCCTGCAAACTTCAGATGTACAAGTTGCACTTGTACTTTTATAGAGTTGTAATGTTTTATATGTGTATGGTGCAAGAGAAAATTGGATCAAATCAATCTGCAGTTGATGTCCCCAAATGCAAACAGACACACACACACACAGGGCCAGGTGATATCACACCCAAATTTCACAAGCACCATCCCTCTGGCACAAACACCCGCCAGTACTGTGACTTCCAAAGCCAGAGCCGCATCTGCTCATCAAACTTGCATTAAGCAATTGGTGGGAGGTGGCCATGGAACTCGGGGTTGGAGTGATGGTTCTCCTTAGCTTCCTCTGTGGGGGGACGGCTATCATCTTACTTAAGAGTGTATTTATGCCAAGTTTGCGCTTTTAATTGTTTTTATTTTTATTTTTTTAATGAAAACCCAAATCTTTCCCTTTTTGGCGTAATTTTTATGATGAACCAGAAATTTTACATACAAACAAAATTTTATGAAAAGCAACCAACCTCTTCATGGAGCTGAGCCCTATTGCAATGCTCAGGGCTCATAAAGAAGAAATTCTTTCCAGAAGGCATCCATCATGTTGCTAAATTGTCTTTTCCAGCATCCCTTCCCTAGAGCTTTTGTTCCCTCTGTTGCTAAGAGCTGGAAATGGCATCCTCATGATCACCACAGTGAGCTCGGCTCGCTCGCCTCGCCTCTGCTGGCCGGGATGCACTCTTCCTCCAACATCCGCCACTCTTGAAGCTGGAGTTCCTCACCTCGCATCACGGCATCTGGTCTCGTTGCTTTCTTAAATCAACTGCTAATTTAACCACACTTTACAAGGCTGTTTCACCCAAATACACAGACAGGAATTTCTATGCATGTTTCCCCCTCCTCCCCTACGCCCCCCACCCCCAGGAGACCCTTAAGAAGTAGCTTTTTATTCCTAGTGGTGTACATTTAATTTTAAAACATTTGCAATGTATCATGCTTGTTGCCGAGATTGTTTGTGGCCTTTCTGTTTCAGTTTTCTCTTTCTTCCAATGGTACTTTAGCTGTTGAGTGCAGGTTACAACCTATATTGTTATGCAGGTGGCTTCTTTAGGAATAACTTTTATATTTATTTAAAAATTTTTAAATTATGGGATTTTGTTTTGTTGTTATTGTTGTTGTCGTCTGTTGTTGGTCATTTGTCAATATGCAGTCACCAATTCTGCTCACTTCTTGCCATGGATAAAATTGGGTCTCTCTGGCCAATTAAAAAAGTCAACTTGAGAAAATGGCACTTTAAACAAGCCATAGATAGTTTTATTTTTATAATGCACATGGCAAAGCAAATACGTTTGTGATGAAGGACCTGCTCATCTAAGCAAGAGATTCGGGTATGATACGATTAAATCTTTTCTGCATTCTAATTTTCTTTTTTTTCCCCACTCGAATGTGTCTTTAAAGGCTAATTATCAACTCAGTAGAGCAATGAGAAACTGATCAAATTGCAACTCGTTCTCCTACAAGCAACCTCCACGCAAACACCTCTTACTGCTGCACATGTGTCATTTCCTTTGATATAGGACCAGGGACCATATAATTAAGGTTAGAGTTGTTATCGATGCTTCCAGTGTCGCCGAGCTTCCCTTTATTGTAAGGAGACGGGCCTGCCCAGGCTGCATGCATTGTACAACTGGAGGACCCTGCAAACTGGCCACGTGCTGCACACATCTACATACATACACGCACACAATAGTGTTGATTATTCTGAACAATAACAGGGTAAAGCAGTTGATTTGCCATTGTTAAAAACTGATTTACAGTAACTTAGAACAACTGTACTTTCGTTGGATTACCAAACCGTGTGTTTAAACAAATCCCATATGTTGGGCAACAGTTCAAATAAGCACAGAGAAGCGCTGCCCAAACTTGGTTCTCTGACTCTGGTGTATTTGTAAGGCTGGGCTTCAAAATCAAAACAAAAACCCCCAGCGACAGCAGGCAAGTGCTTTTTAACTCTGAAACCCTTGCCATAAACTCTTGATGCTCACGGTCTGACAGAGATGTTCATGGGAAACCAATGGCCCATTTTCAGAAAGAGTGAAGCCTTCAAGAGTTTAAAGTGTCTTTGTGTCCTATTTTTACCAAGCCATGTCCCAACAGAGAGGAGTAGGAGCTGGAGTGGGATCTCCACATCTCAGTTCCAGTGCAGGATGTGCTTCCAAATGCCTCTTGGCAGCAGTTCCTTCCCCTTTAAGAATGGCATCCAGAGCCAGGCAGGCAACTTGAGGTACCTTTAATGAGAAAGATGGGCTGGGTGGGGCTGGGGCTGGGAGAGGACAATTATTGACAGTGATGTGCAATGAAGTGACAAGATGAGAGCAGAATCATAAGAGCTTTGAATTTGAAGTGATTTTTTTCCCATAAGTTATTTATTCCTTTTTATTTCTGTGTAAATATATTTATTTTACTGTGGAGCTCTAACAACATCTGGATGGTAATGTGCAGAATGTATGGTAGGAATGTATTCTCTTGTAGGAATGTAAATCTGTATTAAAAGGGGGTCCAAGCCAGACCCCCATGGGTCTTCTCATCAGACACACAGTCCACATCCACTTTTACTGTCTCTTCTAATATGGGTCTATTTGAAATATGCAAAAGGTATGGATGAGGAATGTTTTAATACCTCCAAATTTTTAAGAAAATCAAGCATCAAAGGGTTGATATTTTTAAAAGTTTTCTTAGTAGCACTTTCTCTTGATGACAGAAAGGGGCAACCACACGGGCACCCACATTCATACCAAAGGGTGAGAAATGGCCAGAGCCTCCTACCACCCCTGAGTGTCTTTATCAATTGAACTTTTTATCGCCATAGCCCCTTGGAGTGCCCCCAACCACCCTGAGGTCAATCAAGGAAAATTTCTTAACTAAATAAGCTCCAAAGAGCCAAAGTATCAACTTACGGATCATTTTTAAAGCTTAAATTTATTAACCACCTTTGCGGTAAACAAATGAATTATGAATACTGCAGGGGCAGCCTTCTTAAGTGACAGATGTAAAAAAAAAAAAAAAAGACTCTGTGCAGCGATTGTTATTCTACTCTCTCTGAATTGTCTTAATTTCAAAACTTTGCTGTTACAAATTGGACCTTTATACCGTTTTCTGAAAAGATTGAAAAGAGCATATTTAACCTGTCCTGACTGTAAATGGTTAACTCCTGTAATTGCCCCACACATGGTGGGGGCAGCAAGGTGTTCCTGTCCTGCTTTGTGTACAATTGTTCTCAATGCTTCCAAGAATGAGTCTAAATGGTTCTTGAAAATTAGCCAGGATCAAATGCTATTGCAGACAAAGCCAATAAAAAAATTTTGGACTTCTTTTGGGGATAATAAGTTTGGAAGAGAAGTGCAGTCCACATGTACAAACAACCAAGATTTTGAAAAAGATGTACATAGTGACATGTTTGGTGCATGGGTTTTGAGGAAGGCTTTTTTTTTTTTTTTTTTGTCAAAAAGGAGGTGTGACCTTTCCCCACAGACCTGAGAGCTGTGCCTTTTCTATGCAATATTACAGACGTCACATCGGAACCCAGAGGGCTGTGTTCAATGTAGGTTCGGGCTGTAATCTAAACAATTGGACAGATTAAATGTACATGGAAATGAGCAGTCTTACTTTTGTAGTTTTATATATACAATAAACAGTTAAAAGATGGGAGATTCGTGTTTGCAGTTCTTTTGATGATTTTTGTGGGGTGGGGGTGGAGGGATTGCTGGGAATGGGTTTCCCATGTGCTAGGCAAGCCCTCTACCCATTTGCCTAGCACAGGACCATTCGTTCCCCTTAACCCAGGGTCTTGTCCACAGAGATTCTGCCAGGATTGGTGCTCTCTGTCCTCCTGAGCCACTTTGGTCTCCAGAACCACCACCTTTCCTGGTTCTCTCCAGACATCGTTTTTTCCAGGGTTTAGCCCATGACCAGCTCTCCAAGCCTGTACCCTGCCCACTGCCGGCTTTCCCGAGGCTATCTCACCCACTCTGGAGTCTCAAAACTAGTTGCCAGTTCCTGCCTCGCTCCTGAGCTCTGGACATCAATGTCAAATGCTAGAATTTTTCATCTCACAATGTGTCTTAAAATCGGCCTCTTTTCCCCGGAGGCCAAGCCTGCAGTCCTCACCCTGTTCCCTGGCTCCACATGTGAGGCATGGGGCCCAATCCTAGCCTCTTGGTCCCTCTGCTGCCTTCTTGCCAGTCCTCCTCTGCCCCCCACCGATGCACCTGCTTCCTAACTGGTCTCCTCCAGGCTTGCCTCTCTAGCATCTCTGACGCTGAAGGTGACATGCCAGAACACCAGCGGTGATTGCTGCCCATTCTCCTGGAGCTCCCGATGATAGCAGCCTCCCAATGATAACCCTCCCGCCAGCTTCCAGGGGCTGCCTGGGCCACCTTGGACGGAGTCATGGGATCCAGCTTACCTTGTCCAGGCCATTCTGGGCTACTAGATCAGCTGGATAGGAGAGAGCTGGAAATTAAATGTAAAATAATGGAGAGGTGGAGTGGGGGTGAGTCATGGGTGAATTGTGTCCTCCAAAGAAGATAGATCCAGTACCTCCAAATGTGACTTTAATTTGACAATAGGATCTTTGCAGAAATAAATGATTTAGCATGAGGTTGTTAGTGTGGACCCTAATCTAATACGAGTGTCCTTGGGAAACAGACACATAGGGAGAAGGCCTTCTGAGGATACAGGAAGAGGTTATAGAGTGTGTCTGCAAGTCAAGGCACACAAAGATGACCAGCAAACCCCCGAGAACTAGGAAAAAGGCATGGGACAAATTCTCCCTACAGCCCCCAAGGAGCCCACCCTGCTAACACCTTGCTCTTGGACTAATAGCTTCCAGAAAAGGGAGTTTCGTTGTTTTTTTTTTTTAAGAGAGAGAGAGAATTTTTAATATTTATTTTTTAGTTTTCGGCGAACACAACATCTTTGTATGCGGTGCTGAGGATCGAACCTGGGCTGCCCGCATGCCAGGCGAGCGCGCTACCGCTTGAGCCACATCCCCAGCCCAGAAAAGTGAGTTTCTATTGTGGACATCACCCAGTTTGGGGTTCTGTTTATGGTACCAGGGATTGAACCCAGGGGTGTTTTACCACTGAGGTAGATCCCCAGTCCTTTTTTATTTTGAGACAGGGTCTCACTGAGAACTTTCGATCCTCCTGCCTCAGCCTCCCAATTCACGGGGATTACAGGCATGCACCACTGCGCCTGGCTCGGGTCCTTTGTTATGGCAGCCCTTGCAAACTAATACAGGGGCAGAAGAGCAGAGTGAGTCCTTTTGAGATGCCCAGTGGAGACACGAGGCAATTGAAATCCAGGGTTCATTGCTCAGTTGTGTGGTATGTATCTGTAATTAAGAGCATTTGCTATTCATTAATGATATAACTATGGGAAGTCATTCAACCTCTGTACTTTCGGGGACAAGAAAAAGTCATATCTCCTAAAGTGCTTTGAAAATGTTGACCGTACAATAAAAATGCAAGTTATGAATGTTACCTCTCTCCTCTCTTGCCTACAACTGTGCCTGGCACGTAGCCGGCACAAATGTTTTGTTGAATTAAAGGAGGGAGAGAAATCCTGTGATTCGCTCTTCCTTATGGAATGAGAGAAGCACAGTGCTCAGCAGCATCACTGTCTGTCGAAGGGTCTTCTCCCCGCCTCCCTTGCGTGGGCCCCACTCCCAGCACACAGCTGCACCGTGCCTGTGACCTTGTCTTCTCCTTCTGCCTGTAGAATGCCCATCATTTAAAAGTCAAACTCAAATGCCTGTCCATGAAGTCACCTCTGCAACCCTGCAGTCAAAACCTGCCTCTCTCCTGGGCTCCTCCAGGGCTCTGGGCCCCTGCACATGCACTTGCTGCTCCTGTGGTGCCTTAAGGTTAGCATTGCACCATGGGTTTCCTCAGCTGCCCTCCGAGATTCTTGAAGATCAGCGACCCTATGGTTTTCATCTTTGCCAGGGGTCAGCACACTACAGCCAGTCGTCCAGGTCCTGCCCACTGCCTGTTATTGTTAAAAAAGTGACCCTAGGCCTGGCCCCATGGCTCACGCCTGAAATCCCAACGGCTTGGGAGGCTGACGCAGGAGGATCGCAAGTTCAAAGCCAGCCTCAGCAAAAGCAAGGTGCTTAGCAATTCAGTGAAATCCTGTCTCTGAATAAAACACAATAAAAGGGCTGGGGATGTGGTTCAGTGTTCAAGTGCCCCGGAGTTCAATCCCTGGTTCCAAAAAAAAAAAAAAAGGTGATTCTAGAACATGGTCATGCTCCCTTATCTGTAACTAGCCTATGGCCATTGTCACACCATGATGGCAGAGTTGCAGTTGAGACCACCCTGTGGCCCTCATAGCCAAAAGATTTGCATTTCGGTCCTTTACAGAAAGCATTTACCAAACCCTAATATTTGCAGCACACAGAACAGTGCCTGACGAATGATGGGACAGGGTCACACACCTCTGGAGAAAGGAATACAGCGCCTGGTGTGGGGAGGGGTCCAAGGTCACTGAGTACTGGAGGTGGGGGGTTCGAGGGCCTGAGGGGGCAGAGCAGTCAGGAGAGCCACACAAGAGTAGACATCTTCAGAGAGGTCAGGACTGATGAGAAGAGAAGCCTTAGATATGGATGCCCTGCTCAAAGAGCCAATTTCAATACATGTGAAAACTGAGCCCCAGAGAGGGAAGCGATCATGGTCTAAAGAAAAACAGTTTATAGCATTGAGGTTCCAGTTTTGGCTTTGCAACCACGACCACGTGAGTTTGAATCCTGGCTCCATCATTGACAACCTGTAATGTCGGGCACATTCCTGAACCTCTGTACCTTGCTTTTGTATTTATAAAATGAACTGAATAATTGAGCTTATCTCGTGGAATGCTGAGGATTAAATGAGTTGATGAATTTAAACCACTTAGAGTAGTTCTAGTACATTAAAAAAAAATAAAATTATAAGAAGTCCACAAATGTTGGCTGTAGCTAACATCAGTGGCCAAAATCTATGTCATTCTCAGGGTTGTGTGGGGCGGACCCTAAGCAAAATCTGGGGTGACTTCAATGCTGAAAGCATGTTTGATAGGGGACACTGTGACTCCCAGATACCATGTTTGTTCATGGGGTCAGCTATTTTCTTTCAGAAAACACTGCTGCCATCTGTGAGTCCGCACTCCCTACTGCCTCCTCCATCTTTCAAGATTCTTTTGTTCCTCTCAGAAAGTAATCTTGGACTGAATCAGAAATAAGAGTCCCCAGGGTCACCATTTACTGAGTGCTCACATGTGCCTGACACTGCTAAGTGCTGGTGTGCATGATTTTGTGAACCCTCCTACCCCCAACTCCCCCGAGGTTCTTCTTACCACCCCTGCTTTACAGAGAGGTTAAGCAGCTTCCCAAAGATCGGAGAGCCAGCAAGTGGCAGAGCTGGTATCATGGCCTGGGTCTCTCTCTTATAACCCCTTCAGGACACCATTGTCTTCTGCTTGAGGCTGAGCAGGGTGAGAGGGCAGGAGACTATGTTCTAATGTGAGGAACCCTGCATAGTCATCCCACCTCTCCTCTTCATGGGACTCCGTGGATCCCTGGTAGCACACTAGCAGCATTGTCCTGAGGAACAAGAGAAGAAAGGTGTCCAGGTGGGGCCAGCCGTGAAACAGGAATTGAGATCTTTTTTCAGGACTGAGTACCCAAGGTTCTCTTGTCCTGGCTCTGTGTGACCTTGGGCCAGTCTCTTCCCCTCTTGGGGTCTCAGGGGCAAAAAGAAGGAGGCAGGACATACGTGATCCTCCCTGGCTGGCCTTTAGAATCACAGGAAGTGGGGCTCACTAGCATCTCTGGGCATGGGGTGCCAGCCTCAAAGATTTTGTAAAAGCTCTTGGGAGGAGAACTGCTGGACTAAGGTGCCAGCCCTTGAGGCATCTGGGATGGTGTGGCCTTGTGCACGACAGGGGAAGCACACAGGCTGGCTTTGTCCCTGGAGCTGGGAACCCCCTCTGCAGAAGGCTGTCCCCCCACCCCCCACCCCGCAGGGCGGCCAAGCTGCCAGCTGCTAGCAAGGCCTATTGTTCAACAGTGACAAGAAATGGCTGCGGGAGCACAGGCCGGAGAAAGGCTGGAGGCAGGGGGAGGGGTGGGCGGGCTGGAAATCGGCTCCCAGCCCCGGCTCCCCTGGGGGCCGGCCTGTGCGCCTGAGAGGAGTCGGAGACAAACCCCCCTCCAGCGGTCTGTCCCCTCCCTCCTTAGGGTCTCCTGGACTGGGCGAGTTTGTGGGCGGAAGTGTGTGGCGCTGTGTTTGTGTCTTAGTGGAGGAGTCAGGCTGCCTGTGGAGAAGGATTGATGGTCACTCATGTCCCAGCGGAGTGACCGAAGGCAGTGCCAGGTGGCTGAGTGCTTTGAAACCGATTTCCAAGTCCACAGGGCCCATGCTCTTGCTGCGGCTAGAGAGGGCCCAGTGACGGTGACGACCCTTGACGTGGGGATTTGGCTTGATGTAGGAAGCATTTCTTGAACACTCAGGGTTCTGGTTCTGGTTTTCAGTTCTTGTGATGATCCTGGATGGTGGCTGAGCAGCCTGGGTGAGCTGGGGTGCAGAGGGGCGTAGGCCCCACTGGTAAGGGACTAGAAGGATGCATGCAGTTCGACCCTGGGTCCCTGTCCTTTGTCACACTCCAGTGAT